CCGACCTTGACTTTATTTATCCCCATCCCTGCAGATATCCCCGTTAACCAGAGGGGGCTTCTGGAATAGCAATTTCTTCCCTGAACTTTTAGGAAAAGTGCTGGAGGATCAGTTGGCTTCCTGAGCTACTGAGAAGGAAAAAAAAGCTTCAAGAAGTTTCAGCTACAGGGAGAGAAATAAAAAATGACCCCAAATTTGGCTTCTCTATGAGAAGGTTTGTTAAAGGTAGGACTTGGCCCCAAGGCAACACTCACTCTAATTTCCCCGTTAGCAGCTTGCCAAATTTTCATGGTGCCGTCAGCACTGGTGGAGACTCCGAGCCCGCCTCCGCTAGAAATGTCAAGGCAGGTGATCTAAAACGAAGAGAGCAGTGAAAATTTTATAATTTACAAAATTATTCTGGGAGTTGAAGTCCACACGTCTTAAAGTTCCCAAGGTTGAGAAACGCTGGTCTAAATTGTGTGAGTTTTCTGCTCGCTGAACATGACCTCAAGGCACCTGATTTGGTCCTGGAATGATCAATAATTCCACAGTTCATACTCTCAGTAACAATCTTCAAATCCATAATTTGGAAGTGGAAGGAGGTGTTAATAAAGGTGGTGTGCACTGAAATATTTTGCACTTCCTACCACACTGGCATTTTCTGTTTGCTTTTAGGACTTTCTGCGTCATTTTTTAAAAGAAATTGTTAGTAATATACAGGAGAGAATCAATGCATTTTTTAAAATGTTGAGTTTCCTTATGGCCTTTTTATTGTGTTATTTTATCCATGTGGTTTGTTAGCTGCCTAGAGTTATTCTCGGCAGTTAAGATGGGCAGTCATATAAATTTGTTAAATAAATAAATAGATGGTGTGGAATATAATTCACCACAGCATGAAAAATGACACTAAAATCAAGGCCAAGAACAGTGCAGGATGAGTTCTGAGCCATAGATAAGACACCAGACACCCCAAACAACTTAAAATGGAGGAGATGCTGTTGCATAATGTGGGTAACTGAAATAAGAATTTAATTTCAGCTCCTTCCATCCCAATTTGTAAAGAATACGTACACTTTTTTGATGGATCCTGGAGAAGGTAGTGTAGGGTGCCAGAAATTTGGTAAAGGTGTTTTCACGCGGGCAGGATACAAGCAGACTTTTCTAAAGCAGGTGGAAAAGGAAAGCCAATACAAGAATGAGATGGATCAAAAGCAGATTATCTCAACATTCGTTCATCATGAAGGCTAACAACTCAGGGTCAATCTGGGCCATTAGTAAGCAAGCTAAGCAGACAGATACAATAGCTTGGGGGGGGGTGCAGAGTGTGGTCAAAAAGGGCAAGGTGGTGGCCACAATGGTGCAATTGAAGCTCACCCCTTTCTTATTTTCTTTTATTTTATTTGGGGCTATCTCAAAAGGTCTCAACACACCCAGTAGGCTTTTAACATCTTACAATAATTAATTGATAATATACCTGCAATCTGTCTCACATGTAACCTGCACCTGGATAGCCAACCTTCTCCCCCCCACCTCCCTCCAATTTAAATCCTCCATCGGTCTCGCCACTCCACACATCAGTCGAAGTGAGCTGCAGTTCATGAAAGCTTCGGCCTTTCGATAAAATGTATTTGTTGGAAAACAGGTTACCAGGCTCTGCTCGGTTTTAGACAATACCTTAGTTATTTTGCTGACTTCGAATCCTTCAGAGGCTACAATTTCAGGAATTCCATCTGGGCTCAAACCTTGGGAGGTCAGAGTTCCATATAAAGTTGATTTCCCTAAAGGGGAACAATAAGAGACTGAAATGCAGTTCACCAGACAATGCTACTATGAAGAAGCCGTCTCTGATTTCTCATGTTTCAGGTAGGACAATTCCCCATTTAATGCACTGAGGGTGTATCAATTTATCTCTGTTTGCCAGTATTCAAAATATATTTTGGATATTTTCAATCTGTGCGACCATCTGTGCCCATGGAATATTCAAAGTGCTTCTCACCAATGGTCACAGTAACCCTTACAGTAGAATGTACAGTAAATGAAGATACATATTTATTCTCATTTTAAAGGGATACTACGGAGGCTGAAAAAATGATGGGTTGTTAATGCTTGGAAAATTGTTCAGAAAAGGTGCCTTGGAACATAATGAGAGTGTGAACAGAACACCTCTTTAAAACAGCTAGGTTTTTTCCCCCAAAACTTCCATGTGAATCTGAATAAGACACGAGTGCTTTAAGGAGTCAATTACTTAAAGCAGCTGTACCTGTAACGTGACTCATTAAAGCAGACACATTTTTTTGCATGTAGCTACTTTAAAGAGGTGCTGTGCTCCCATTCCTGGACACACACCCCATATAATTTTCATGGACTATATTAGCTCATGGACCTCTTTACTTCTTATGTATTTTATATATTCACTTCTTATATATTCAATTAACAAATGATCCCTGGTTTGAAGCCTGAATTTATTTCCAATTATTTATATAGTACATTTCAGGTACAAATCTAAGTAACCTTATACGTTTTTTAAAAAAGATAATAGAATAAGACTGGATCAAATTATAACATTTCACTGGGGTCCTTGTCACAAAGAAATTAATGGTGATGGTACAGTGAGGGTTGTGGGGAGGTAACAGCCCAGCTGGAACCAAGTCACTTTCCTGTCACAAGGTGGGTAATAAATTAATCTTGGCGGGAGCAGCTGGAAAAGTCTCTGGCAAAAGTGTGCTTTCCCAAGAAAAAAACTTTCACAAAGTTTTCCTGGATAGGATTGTTATCTAAAAACTGGATCTTTCTTCTTTTAAAAAAGTGAGAGTTACCTCCCGACTCAGCTTTACAGATTACAGAATTTAGATTTTTTGTTTTTGTCCCAGCAGATGGCAGCAATTAGTGGATCTTGGCTGATCCAGTCAGTCAGACCCAGTTAGTTCCTGGAAAGGAGGCCAAGAGGAAATCTCAGAGCCGTAGACTAGATTGGCAAGTTGGAAAAACACTGCAGAAGAAGGCAATGGCGAACCACTTTTGTGTATCTTCCAAAAAAAAAAAAAAAACCCACATGGGACACAACCACCAGCAGGACTTATGATCAACTCCACAGAAACTTGACGGTTATGATCAGGACCAGCTTTAGGCTGGCAAATGGGCACTGGCCTAGGGTGCCAAAGCTTAGAAGGAGCCAAAGCTATCCCTCCTTTAGAAAAGAGAACACAAGAAAAAATGTTAATTTTTAAATGTTGTGTCCTAATACATAAAATGTACATTTTTGTAAGGACATAAAATGTTAATCATCTGCAAATCTTTGCATCGGTGGCACCATCCATACTTTTGAGCCAACGCTGCTTATGGTATGAGTAGTTCAGGGCTGGCGTGTTAAGAGTTGTGTTGTGTGTTCTCAAAGCTAGGTTTCGGGCTTGCAAACACATTGGAAACCCCAAAACCTGGTTCAGAGAACTTGAACCACACCACACTTTACCCTGGCCTTTCTTGTTGTAGAGAAGCAAGTCTGAACAGGCCCATTTGAAGACTGAAGGGCTAGTGGGGCGGCTGCTTTCATACGCCACATAGCATCAGAGTAGGGACGGAGGAAGAGGATCTGGATCCCCTTGACAGAATCGCTCTACGAAAGCAGGAATGGCAGATTTTCCTCACTTACCTGGACTCCTGCAGCTCAGCCAAGCCTCCTCCTCATTTCTCCTAGAAAAGTGAAAAAAAAAAACAGCTCAGTTTTTATGTATTTTTTAAATTGTTGTACGCTGCCCAGAGTCACCTTGTGTGAGATGGGCTGCTATATAAATATGATAGATAGATAGATAGAT